ACTACTTTTTATTTGCAACGTCCTAGAAAAAAATCTTGCTTCCTAATGTCTTTCAGAACTTGCATGTGCACTAAGAACAAAGCATCGCTCCCACAGTCAGCAAGCTGCCACTCATCGACTCAAAAGCTTTTCAGAAGTTCCACAGTAATTTGGTTTGTAAATTCACAGAAGCAAGTGGGTTCTACCAGATCAATACATTGGAAACTCATCAAAAAAAAGCTAATCATAAGCAATACTTAAACAAATGCCTGATTTTTATTGCCACGTTTGCACTGTAGATATTCTCTGCATCATGTATTTCAGTAACACATTCATTGCAAGCTTTTACAGTCAACATAATGTAAGCAAGACAGGAAAATTTATCTGGACAGAAGGTACATGGAGATTCTAATTAAGAATAAGCATTTGTTTAAGTTTTCTCTAGCTGCTCCAATCATTGGCTGGGAGCATTAAGGCATGTGAGCTTTGCTTTAAACATTATATTTTGTTCTTTATTTTAAATTTTTCTGTTATGAAAATGATAAACAACAGGATTTTGTACAAAGCAATATACACAGGTGTCACCCAGGCACAATCTGCTGTTCTATGACAGATTATCAATCTTCTTCCTACTACATGCACTGGCCAAAATGTGAAATAATAAAATGAAACATGAATGCGAGCACATATGGTGTCACAGATTTTGTTTACATAGCAAGTAGTGAGGTGAATTAGAACAGATTAGTAGATCAAACCACTTAATGCCAATGCTCTTTACCTCTTCCATTAGATGCTATTTGAGGTTTATTTTAGGCTAGACTTTGCCTTGTTCACTTCACCAAAAATGCAGCTCAAAGTTTGCTGGTGGAAAGCTACCTTACAGATCTTTGCTCCCTTGACTGACAGGACTTCTGGGAAGTGTCATTCCGTCCCTTTCACTGGTTTCCTGCAGATGATAGTAGCATGTCAGTTCACACATCGTTAGTAGACTCCACTACAGGGTTTCTATATCCCCCATCTTCCATTTCTCTGTTCACAGAATCAAAACATATGCCAGTGCCTTCTTGCCAAGAAGGGACAGGATCACTCATGAAGTCCTCTGTGCCAATAACCAACACGAGAAAGGCTGCACATGTGCACTCTGACAACAGCACAGCACAAGCCTAATTTAATTGTGCTTTTACTCAGTGCATAATGGAACTGCAATCAACATCTGCTCATTTGAAAGACATTGGGCTATGGGGAACAGACACTGTTCAAATGTTTCCAATATTCTTCCAAATTCAGGGTATTACTTTTAGTCTGAACCAACAGTGAGGACATCTTCAAGATCTTTCTTCAGTCTAAAACACTGAGCACAGCTTCTGCAGTACCTCTATGTACAGTTCTCTGCTCTCTTTGTCATAGGTGGGGTATTCAGCAATGCACTTGTGTCAGGACGTAGCATCTGCCCCTTCACTGAAAACAGTCATCAAACCACTGAACATCCAGGAGAACATGGACTGGGATGGGAGGAATACCACTGGACATCAATGTCTTGCAATCTGGCAAATGTTATGCTATGATTAGAAAAGAACTAACCCCCAATACTTCTCTCTGTTCTCAGTTTTTCCATCCTCCACACTTCTGTGCTTCGCACACTCCTATGCTTTATTCAATCCAAAAACCTGGCTAATTCAATTATGCCTGACTGCAGCCTGCCATGTCCTTCCCTTTACGACCTTTCCTGAGTGTGACTTGGGGCAGAGAAATAGATAATATATTGCCAACAACCACCACCTGCATTTCAAAGAAATGGTATCATCCTGGCATTTGTTGTTCAAGCATCTGACTACAGGTCAGATACCTGAACAAAATATAACATGTGGTTAGAAGTACCAGCACCACTACTACCACTAGGTAGGTCCTTAACACACTGCATTTGAGACTGTGGCTGGGCTTTAGTGCAGAAGCTGAGGAGGGCTGTGTAATCAAGGCGTGCCATGTCCATGGATTATGTGGTTTCCAGGACTATGCCTGGTACACAGGCAGAGCTGGGATGGGGCAAGTGGTCTCTCATGAGCTTGTTGCTCCACAGAACTTCTCTAACATGTAACAGCCCCCCAGAAATCATTTCTCAAGGGATAGCAGCTTTCACAGGCAATCCAGACTCATGCTGCCTTCCCACGGCTCTGCAACCAGTGAATTCAATCAGAAACCTCCCAAGCACAGTCCATACATGTACAGGAAAGGAGGACGCATACTTGCTTATATGGGCATCTGGACCACGGCCTATTGCCTGCTGAGGCAGAGGGAATGTCCCCGTATGTTGTCTCCCAGGGGTCCTCTGGGGGTTGCAGGCACATATCATAGAAATACAGAATCATAGAATGGCCTGGGTCAGAAGAGACCTTAAAGTTCCAACCCCCCTGCCATGGGGTCATGCAGAGCTCCATCCAAACTGGCTTTCAATACTTCCAGGAATGGGGCATCCACATATAGATGTGTATAGCACTTTAGGCACACTCTTCCCTGGACTTTTCTCACACACTGTTGGCCCTGGAACTAAGGGTGTTGATGTTCTCACAATCAGTGGGCTTGGTGGAGTACTCCCCCCCTCCACTAAAGATCTATTCAAGATGTCTATGGTAGGGGCACACACACCATGCCACGTCAGAAGAATGGTTTTTCCATCTCATCAAGAACATGATCTTCATCTAATGGAACTTAATGCAGCACTACTTGTCAGCCCTGTCACATCCTGCAGCAGGCTTGACATTAGTAACAGGGTAGTGTAACAGGGTGCTGGAGAAGCTTTTGGGCCTTTCAGAGCACATGCTGTCATTGCCCCTTCCTCAGTATTCTGGGACACCAATGCAATGCCTGTCACTATTGCAAAATACAGCAGCAGGAAAGAGCAGTAATAGCAAAAGAAATAGGGCTGGTGAAGAGGACAGATGCAAAAGCTTGTGAGAACTACAGGAGCAGCTCAAAGTCAGAACAAGCAGACATCTGGCAGTCAGTAAATATGAAGTCTCCCATCACATTTGGCCCTTTTGCACAGCAGAGAAGCACTTCAGAATAAGGTTTGAGCGCTCAACTGTTTAAAAGCCTCCCGTTGGCACATGTGATTTTCTTTTGTCCTAGAAAACTTCACTCCACAGCAGTGCAGTCCCACTCATTGGATCCTACCATTTGATCCCAAGCAGCAAAACTTGTGTCTTAGCTTTCTCTGTAAAGATGGTATTCATATGACTAAAACCCCTCTGTTAATCAAATCAACAAGCAAGGACAATTGGAGGACTTATTTCAGAACTGTACTGCTGCTGTGATTTGAAATATCATGTAGACACATCACTAATGACCATTGCTTTTCTGGACTTGAGGATTCTTGACCCACTTCA